GATTTTATATTTAATTTGGTATCTTTGTAACATGGAATAGCAGCTGAGATTATAATTGCACATAAAATAATTTAAGAGAGATCTAAATTATTCTCGTACACTTTCACACACATCTAATCATTTGCTATGAAATTATATTAATAGCGATTTGGGATCCGTACGCCCACTCGATTTGGCAATAATTTAGGAACTTGACGCATGAGAGATCAACCTCGTTCTCTAAATTATTGTACTCTACGCTGCGAGAGCGGTAAGAACTTAGTATTGACCTGCATTGTCCTATTAAATAATTTTCATGTGTTTAAGGGAGTGTTTGCAACTGCTTCTGCTTGAAAAAGTACTTTTGGAGATGTAAGGAAAAAGTGATTAGTAGAAAAAGTTGATATTGTTTGAGAAAAAAGTGATTTTGAAAAGTAAAAGTTGATAGTGTTTGGTAAAATAAGTGCTTTTTGTGTAATAGAAAGGGGAAAAACACTTTTCACACGCAAGCCGAGAAAAAGTAAAAATTGGTAGTGTTTGGTAAATAAGTGCTTTTTTAAGCCAAAAGCTGAGAAGTGCTTTTTTTTAAGTGATTGCAAACACTCCCTAAGTCTGATTAGCGCTGAAATCTGGTTTCCCCGGAATCAATCCTTACTTGTTCCCTTCTCTCACATTAGTTAATTTCCCAAAAGCACATCTCGCACATTCACATTTATTTTATTTATTTCAATCGCTGAATTTATTTAATACCCGATTCTCTTTTTCCATCCTTGTGGAGATGATACTCGTATTATAACTCTATATTACTACATTTTTATGTGCGAGAAAATTCATATCAGAAAGTGTCACTAACAAAGTGTCACTATAAATCAGTTTTCTAGTATTGATCAACATCAAGCCTAGCTAGTTTAAATATTATAAATAGGCGCTTGTTGAAATCTATCAATATATCAACTATATTAATAAAAGAAGAGGAGATAATTAACACAACATATATTCATAAAGCACTATATAACATGATATATTCCTCTTCATACATATAAATATTTACTGCTACATAATATTTCCATTATATCATCATATATAATTCACAACATTATATATTGATATTATATTTTTTAAATTTGTAAGCGTATGCTTTTGCTAGGGACATTTTTTTTCTTGAAGCAATCCCAATTCACAAGCATAAATGTGCACGTGTAACTTGACACAATAATACAACTAAATCTAACATGAAATGGAGATGCATTAAACCCCATTTGCAGTTCTCTTAAATATTTGAGGATGTTCAGCGTATGATCTTGTCCAATTTCCGTCAATGGTTCTCGTAAATATACGAGGCTGTCCTGCAGGAAATGTTTCTTTCCAATTCGGGTGTTCAATAAAATAAGCACATTCTCTGAGAGGAGAGAGGATAACGTTTTAATGTTATGTACTATCCAAACGATAATAAAGCAGATATATAAGTTATCAGCTATCCTCTATAAGTACTATCGCTAATAGGCTACTTTGTATATTATTTAGCCATGGGTTAATACAATTTTAGCTAGGTTATTATCAACTAGGTTGATAATAAGAACAACTAGGTTATTAGCTTTTGTTTCCAATCAAAACCTTATTAATCGTCCACTTGAAACTAATAAGAACAAACTATAGCTAGATTATGTATGAACTTTTACTTTATTCTCGCATAATTACAATACTCAAAAGTCAAAACATAGACATGAATTTTTATTTTTTGGATCTAGAAAACGTCACATATCATTGCTTAAAAGTTAAACATGCATGTAATTACCTTCTTATCCGTTGCGCATAGATAGGATAGAGCCTCTCATCATTTCTTTGAACAGTGAAGTATCCCTTACTGATTTCCTTATCTGATAGTTTATACAATGATTCACGACCTTTCACAAAAGCCATATCCCTAAACACGTGTGCAAAAAAAGGTACGTGTCAATTCTACAAGCTGCCGGTAGACACATAGAATTTGGATCAAAAGAGAATGTGATGTGGACGTTAGATTTAAATATACACTCTTGTACAATGAACGATATCATCAACGAAAATAGTTTTATAAATATACACTCTTGTCACAAGTATATATAATATATATATGAAGCTAAAGTTTCTCATGTATGCAATGCTTGGTACATTGACTAAACCAAGCAAACAATGCCCCCGTTTGGATAACAACCTTTTACCCAAAATGCTAATGTTTTAAAACTAGAAAACGATGCATTTATCAGCGTGTAGCACCCAAAGGTGCAAAACAAACGGGACCAATGTATAGGTTGATTTTACCAAGAACATGGAGCAATAACGTATTTGTCGGATACAGTGTCATATGTCTCTAGCAATCTTAAATCTTCTCCACACGGGGCGTCTTGTCGAGCTATCCTAGCGGTTCTATCTGGATATGTTGTTGTATCAAATTCTGCCGGAAATATTGATCCAGTGGCAGTTTCCACCTAATATCAATAACAAACATATGAGATTAAATTATGAGTTATGCACATGCAAATACTTGTATATGCTAAGAGCTAGTAGCGAAACACATATATACGTACGTCCCATTTTAGTTCGCCTAACTTGATTTTTCAATTGAATGTTGTCTGACTTTGATCGATTATATATTTATATACAGAAGTATTGATAATATGAAAATGATATAGAAATGTTCTTTGCTAAAAATACTATCATAAAAATATAAAGTTATTAAATTTTATATAACTATATTCACTAAAATTATTGGTCGAAGATTACCCTCTTTGACTGGAAAAGTCAAATATGACTAACTAAAATGGGACGGATGTAGTATATACATACTCCATATAATTGAACTAATTAATTAATTTTTATTATTACCAAGAAACCACCGAACATAGGATATGCATTTCCTTGTTCATCATGTACCGTATTGCGATTAAGAATGTGTAACGTTTTGATACTGAACCTTTTACTGCTCTTACAAAGAAATTGAATTATCTTTCCGCAAAGTTTAAGCGAAATTCCTCGGATAGTTTTTTTGGCATCGCGTGGTGCTACATTTTGACCATTAATTAAATGTACCTGCACATAATATCATGGGATTAGGATAAAAATGAGACTTTTTTAACTTTCGAAAATGTGATTATATTAGTTTCCATGTCTGGGAAATTAAGCTAAAAGTGTTTTACTAAATTACTCATCCCAATTATGAGTGTGACATATCTCATATTGACTTTGACTTGACCACCTGACGCTCATCGATCAATTGCAAGTGACCACCTGGATATTGACATGCCGGTCACATGATCTCTGACCATAGTGACTGTCTTTAGTGACCAATGCCACAATGACCACTGCCGGCCGCATCAATCATTGCCAGTCGCAATGATCACCGTGTCAGTGACCGTTAGAGTTGTAGGTCATCGTCAGCGACCAAATTTACTCCACTCTTCTCTAACCACCTGCACCATGCTTCCAGGCAAAGCCTAACTGGCGCATCACCACCGCCTCAACCTCTTGGAAACATAATTGTACACCTAGCTGTCAACCAAATTTAAAATATAATTCTTGCACCGCCACCTTTGTCCCAATTCGAAACCCTAGCTGCCGGCAGTGCCATCGCCATCTTTGTCCTGTAATGTCGACTCGCAAAACTTCGAGCTACAAATTAGTCCTCAAATCAATGGATTTGTCGCAGGGGTTAGTAGTCAACTTCCATCTGTTTGTCACTCCAAATTACCGAAAGGTCGTCGCCCATTATCAAATGCTTTCGCTAACCTACGGAGCAATCAACGATTCACCGCCCCTAATTAAGAATCTCACCGCCTTCCATTGATAAACGAAAATGGTACAACGAAGGTCATATATTCCAACTGCTTCTGAAGGGAGTGGCATGTGCGGCGGCGGCGGCCTTGACATAGGAGAGAAAATCCACCGATTGAGGGAGGTGAAGGGGAGAGATCGAACGTTGGATTTATTAATTAAGGCCATTCTTGTCTAAATATTTATATTTGATCTCATTTTTGTCTATAAAGTCTATAGTATTAATTTTTAGAATTTTTTGCCGTAAATGGGACTAAAGTGATGCTTAAATTCCTAGGAGTAAGTATATTTTATTGCCTAAATAGGACCAGTATTCCAATTTTACCCCTCCAATTAAGTTTAATCCTGCTGTTACACCAAATTAGCAGTCTGGTTCCAAGTTTGCGCAACAAAGAGCTGGGCGGCGTCAATGAGCGAGCAACGACAGCAGGCAGAAAGCAGCGACGGAACGGCAGTAGAGTGCGACTCACAACGGTAAGTGATGAGCCGCGGCTGACGATCTGTCTCTTCTCCTCTGTCTCCTACCCGAGGTAATTTGTTTTTCTGCAATTTGTTTATTCTCCATCTAGATCTGGTTTGGCCATGCCCTAGTGATTTCCTAGATTTGCAATTGATATGTGTTTCTACTTTTACTTCCGTTCTTTTTTTGTTTCTGAAATCATTCTCATCTTCTAATCGATCTGCAATCATTCTCAATTTTTTTATTCTCGTTCTAATGACCTACTCCTAATGAGCTCTGATTTTTTAAAAATGTGAAATTTTGTTTTAAAAATGCCATTAAAAATTGCATTATTACTCTCCAAAAATGTCAACTTTTACTTTGAAATGCCATTAATATGACATTTTTAATATAAAGTGGCATTCTTAGAAAAACTATGGCATTTTTTTTCTGGTCAGTTCTGGGAGGCGACATAGGCGACAGAAGATGCTGCCATTTCCCCCCAGATTTTTTATACGTTAAAAACATTACGGAGTCTTATTATAATGTCATGAGGATAAATATGGAATAGAGAGCATTAATTACTCCTACTTTGGGAAGATATATCTTTTAGTCCTATTCTTGCAATTTGGTTATTATTTACTCCTATTTAGGGAATAATCCCTAATTTTTATCATTATTTCAAATATCATACATATATATCAGCTTGATTTGCAAAGTCAATATAAGTTATTTAGATTCTTTAAAGTTTTTCATTGCTTCTTATATACTCCGTACGTAGTTAGTTATATATAAATGATTGTGTTAGCACATTAAATCACGTAAACATTGGGTTGAAGGTCATTATAATGTATGTAAATATGTAATGTATGTATATGTACATCCAAAATTTCATCATTCTCTTGATCAATAACGGACGATAACATCTGAGTAAGGCCATTATTAATAACTCCCGGCAAATCCATATGGGCAACTGATATCCTACATCCAATAATATAGATCGAATTAAACATACTCCGTATATGATTAGCAAGACTGGTTTTTAACTATTTAAAAATTGGGTACATTACTTACAATCCACTTTTAGGGTTTCGTATGACCACACCAACACAGCTATCTTGCCCATCAGTGCCGATCACCTGCGGTTTGATTTTAGAGATTGTCATTAATAGGCGGAAACTACATTCCACATGTTACGTACTCCCTCAGTCCCATATTATAAGATACCTTTCTTATTCACTTGGTCAACACACATTACTCTTAATCTCTTACTTTATATATCAAAATTTTATGAAATTTGAATTACTTTTTGCAGGCTTTGTAGTGGTTTTAATGTAGTTTATAAATATGTAAAACTTATTTTCTAAAACTAATTTGAGTGTTGACAGGGATCAATTTGCTTTATCGTCAGTCAAACATCAATCGTAAAGTGCCTTATAATTTGGGACGGAGGGAGTATTATATTATACTCTAAGTATAACTTATTTTCTAAAACTAATTTGAGTGTTGACAGGGATTAATTTGCTTTATCGTCAGTCAAACATCGTAAATCATAAAGTGTGTGCCTTATACTTTGGGACGGAGGGAGTATTATATTATACTAAAGCAGTGTTTGCGTTTGCTTAAAAAAAGTGTTTTTCAGCTTTTGTCTTAAAAAAAGTTAAAAAGAGTGTTTTCAAATGATAGCTTCTGCTTAAATTAATCACTTAAAAGTTAAAAGCTGGAAGCAGGTGGAAGGGTGTTTTAAACTGCTTTTCACTTTTTCTATTACACAAAAAGTACTTATTTCACCAAACATTACCAACTTTTACTTTTTCAGAATCACTTTTTTTTTTCAAACACTACCAACTTTTACTATTAATCACTTTTCCCAAAATCACTTTTTTAAAGTTTTAAGCAATTGCAAACACTCAAATGAATAAATTAATGATCTTAAATGAGAAGTGACAAGTGACTTAACTCAATGAAGAGAGAAAATCTCCCTCTTCTCAGAATTCGAAACTCCATATTATAGCTCGCCCTAGCCGCCCTCTCCCGACATCCCGGGTAAAAAATACGATAGTAATATCGTTGGCCAATATAATGTTGTAATTTTTTAGTAAAAAACTATTTTTTGATTTAGATGTTAAAAAACAATATAATTAGCTGTTGTGACTAATTATTAATTAATGTTAAAAGTTACAAATTTTCTCTCTACTCAGCTCAGTGTACATATCAGAAAGATTTTTTATTTTGAAATATACTCCTAAAACTTAAATCATCATATCGTGCAAAACACACAATTAAACACTTTTGAACACTCTTTAGACGGTACAATAGATAAAAGGTAGGGGAAATGGAAACTAATAATCCAACCTTTTAGCGGTCTTCTTACAATAGTCTCACCTTTTCGTTATTCATGAATAATCCAACATTTACACCTCATCTTCATTCACTGGTCCCTGACTGGTTGATGACCTGCTATTCCAAGCTATTTTCTTATCTTTGCAAACCATTATACCATAAATCTCATCTTTTACAATGACAATATTTTGCAAAGATAAGAAAACAACTTGGAGTAGCATGCCATTAACCGGTCAGGGACCAACAAATGAAGATGGGGTGCAAAGGTTGGATTATTCATGAATAACGAATAGGTGGGACTATTGTAAGAAGACTGCTAAAAGGTTGGATTATTAGTTTCCATTAGAAGGCAAAAATTGAAGTGCCCTAGAGATGAGATAAAAACCCTTAGCTCGCTCTACGTGAATATATATATATATATATATATATATATATATATATATATATATATATATAGAGGAATGCTCCTGTCCAGACGTCCGGACAGGAGCCGCCGTCCGGCCGGCGGCGTTTGGCCGCCTTCCCGGTGGATTTTTTTGATGAAATTTTTATGGCATATTCTCCATCAAGTCTAGTTTATCCACAAAAAAATTCAGCCAAAAACTCAATCGGGAAGGTCGTCAAATGATTTTTGTAAGTTAACTGGTCCGGAAAATACATATTCCGGACCAGTTAACTTGAAAAAATCATTTGACGACCTTCCCGATTGAGTTTTTGGCTGATTTTTTTTGTGGATAAACTAGACTTGATGGAGAACATGCCATAAAAATTTCATCAAAAAATTCCACCGGGAAGGCGGCCAAACGCCGCCGGCCGGACGGCGGCTCCTGTCCGGACGTCTGGACAGGATCTTTTCTATATATATATATATATATATATATATATATATATATATATATATATATATATATATATATACACATATATAGTGGTTCTAATGAGAACACTCCTTATTGTGAGAAATAAGAACAAACCTTAACCGCAGATCTTAGTAAATTAGAGGCTGAAAAGGGAATGGGTGCACATGTGTACGATGGGAGTGCAAACACTTAAGAAAAATATTCATACGATCTCAATTCAACCCTAGATTAGAGAGAGGACACTATAGTAATTTAAATAAATTCATTAATATTGCACGGTTGAAAGTTGGCACTTTCCATAAAAGTAGGTAATAATAAAACTTTAATAATATAAAACTTCTTTAATTTAAGAATTGATTTAACTTTTTAAATGATAATCTGATCTTAATAAAAATTAGACCAAATTCAACAACTTTTTATTATCTTTCAAATGACACCAATATGTCATATATAAATTTTAAAAATAAAACATGTATAAAATGTATACAATAAAGATCAATAAGTATCTTCAGCTATCGTGTGCACAAGAACAAGTATGTAACACACAATCATCAATATCTAATGCATATGAATTGACCTCATACTCAATAATAGTTACAAAAAAAATTCAGAAAAAAGAAACTGAACCATGTCATATATAATTAATATTTACGAACTGATATTTAATGCACAAGAAAGTTATACAAATTGTACAGGTGTATAATGCACATGAACAATACGTATAACAAACACTAGAACTGATATCATAAGCACAAAATCCAATATCTAATGCACAATAATTAAAAACTAATTAATTATCTTAACATGTAAGGGCTTTATAACACACATGATTAGTATATAACACACAAGAATCAATATCTAACACACACCACGTGTATAGACCAGACGTCAATATGTAACATATATGCATATAATAAATTAGTATAAACATCTCTAGCTACTGCACAAGAACTAATATTTAATGCACACGACTAAGAGCATCTCCATTCATGCTCCCTAAATAAACGATTTTTTTATTACACATCATTGCCACATCACACTTATTTAATGAATTTAAAATAATCTCAAAGTTTAAAATTCTTCATCAACAATAATACTCAAATAATCAGTTTTTTCCTACCATGCATTAAATGTAATTTAACTACAATCTAAAATAATCCGGGATTGAAATCTTGATACCAGATTTTTTTTTCCAATAATCTCACTAAATAATCTCTCACTCACAATGATAATTTTTAAAATAATCTTACACATCATCTCATTAATCTTCAAATAAACTCATGGATGGGGATGCCCTAATATTCTTATATTCTTACGTAAGAACAATATTTCAATCAATCGATAAAAATGATTAAAATTGGAGACATGGGTCACGTTGAAAACTTTTAACAATATTTGAGCAGTAATGGAGGGTAATTATTATATTCCTAAAATAGATGCACGATCATAATTATGGTAGTTAAAAAAAACTACCCAATAGTATTATACAAAATCGCCCTCATCATACTAAACAATATTTACGTGAGATGCATCCAAATGAAGGGTTGTGATTTGTTCTCACATCTCACGTTAAGACTTGTTCTCATTTGAACCAAAATCTATATATATATTTTGAATTCTTCTTGTCAGGCCGGCCTGACGGGAACCTCCGTCCGGCAGAGCCTGTTTGGGCACCTTCCCGGCAGAATTTTTTGATGAAATATTTTGAGCATGTTCCTCATCAAGTCTAGATTGTCCATACCAAATTTCAGCTCAAAATTTGATCGGGAAGGCATTCAAATCTTTTTTTGAAGTTGACTGCGTCAAAATATACATATAAAAACGCAGTCAACTTCAAAAAAAGATTTGAATGCCTTCCCGATCGAATTTTGAGCTGAAATTTAGTATGGACAAACGAGACGTGATGAGGAACATGCTCAAAAAATTTCATCAAAAAATTTCTCCGGGAAGGTCGCCAAAAGGGCTCGGCCGGACGGCTCTCCCGGTCAGGCCGGCCTGGCATGATGATTTCTCTATATATATAAATTAAGCATGGTTTGTATTTGATCTCTATTCTTTTTTTGGGCCCGAAAAGACCACCAATATACACACACACAATAATAATGTGGATCGTCATTAATTTGACCGATATTGGATGAATAAATGCGCAGTTATTACAAATAAGATAATGAATTAACTTACATCGACAAGGGAAGGATCCACAGTTGCAAATTCCCTTTGGTAAATATACACACATTTAGTTTCTCTCGTCACGAGAAAATCAGAATTACGAGAAAGAATAAAATTCCCACTCGAGATAGAACGATATGTAGCAGCTATGGATTTCAAATATGGATCACGCATTAAAGACTTCAAGATACCCCTTGCCTGCATCGTTGTTACAAAAAAATGAATACATTCCTCATAAAATTCATTATTATATGTGGCATTATATTAAGAGGAAATGTAGGGCTGGGACCGGTTCGGTTCTTACTCAAAATGAGTGAAACCGTTATAAAAGTTTTAACTAATGAAATCGGTTCGGTTCCTATATAAAAAATCAAGAACCATTATGGAACCGAACCGGTAGTAAACGGTTCGGTTCTTCCTTTTACCGGTTCCTAGAATAATTTTTTCTCGTCTAAGAATTAACACATAATTTTAAACACGTCGAAAATTCAAAACACGAGTATTAAAATTTTATTTGAAGCTCTAATCACTTCAAACATCAAAGCTAAAACTTAACTAATGAACTTTGAACACTTAATAGAACAAAAGTGATTTAAATTTTCATGTAATAAATGAAACATTAAAAATCGTTGTAGTGTCGGAGCGATGAAGGTTACTCGTCATCATAGTAGCAAGAATAGGACGCCTACTTCAAGTCGTTCAAAACATAAAAAAAAAGACATTGAGTTTGCATGTATAGATATAAAATAAACATTATTACATTCTATTGATTCATAACAAATCTAATAATTAGAAATATCATGAAAATAGTAAAGTAAAATATGTGCAATCAACTACAAGTTATTTGGGTTGTTTTATATTTATAAAATTTATGTGATGGAACAAAACTTGATTTGTAGAAAGGAGTTTAATGTATTATATCAACCTCATGTACAATATTTATTACTTCTTTTCCGTTGATTAAATTAGAATTGTTAGTTAAATATCTTATATTGTTTTATTATTGTTGTTGTGGTGGTGGTTATTATTGCTATTATATTATTATTATTATTATTATTATTATTATTATTATTATTATTATTATTATTATTATTATTATTATTATTATTATTATTATTATTATTATTATTATTATTATTATTATTATTATTATTATTATTATTATTATTATTATTATTATTATTATTATTATTATTATTATTATTATTATTATTATTATTATTATTATTATTATTATTATTATTATTATTATTATTATTATTATTATTATTATTATTATTATTATTATTATTATTATTATTATTATTATTATTATTATTATTATTATTATTATTATTATTATTATTATTATTATTATTATTATTATTATTATTATTATTATTATTATTATTATTATTATTATTATTATTATTATTATTATTATTATTATTATTATTATTATTATTATTATTATTATTATTATTATTATTATTATTATTATTATTATTATTATTATTATTATTATTATTATTATTATTATTATTATTATTATTATTATTATTATTATTATTGTTACTACTACTACTAATATTATTAGTTTTTTATAACGGTTCCTTAACGGTTCCATGCACATATTTTTTATAGGAACCGGGAACCGAACCGTTATAACCCGCTTCGGTTCGGTTCGATTCCTACAAATGAGGCATTAATTGTTAACGGTTCGGTTCCTAGATGTTGTTACCGGTTCGGTTCCAATCGGTTCTACGGTTCCCGGTTCCAAAATCCCGGAAATGTACAATCATTATACCCTTCATGTTTAAAAAGATGTGAAATTTTCCTTAAATTAAAGTTTATACGGAGTAATTAGGAGCAAATTAACCCTTATTGACTTTAAATAAATAAAAAAAAATCAAAAAACATAAATAAATTAATGAATATATTGGATTTTGAAATTGAAAAATAAAAATTTAAAAATCCATTTTTTGTTCAGTGCTTCCTTATTAAGATCTATATCAAATGTAATACTTCCTATTACTAAAATAAAGGAAGCATTGAGCACAAATTGATTTTTAAAATTTTAATTTTACAACATATTTTTAATACTTCAGGGAAAAAAACATAATCATATGTTAAAGTTTTAAAATACTTATTTTATGTTAACAATATTAAATTGAAATAAAATAATATTAAAAAGGAAGCATCACAAACAAATTGTCTTATTTTTTTTAATAATTTTCAATCTCCAAACTAAATATATTCATTTTTTTTTACATTTTAAATATATATTTCTATTTATTTAAAATTAAAAAACGTATATTTGCTTTCAAAAATGAACTTTAGGGACATTTTTGTACATTTCAAAACATTATGAGCATATCCGCACCTGGAGCCAAAGATCAAGATATATTTGCAAATTTCCCCTTATATTAATTACTTTAATATATAAGGAAATAATAGCCTCACAAAAAAGTCAAAAATAGCATTTTAATTACTCTGAAATTTCACCATACATCTGGGCTTAATTGATTTTTTCGTATTAGTAGGGGGGCCTATTTGATACTTTCCTACTCTTTTTCTTTGTTTCTTTTCACACAAACAAAACCGCAAATCACTTTTTTTAATTTGTACCACATATCAGGGGCGGCCCTCACATATAAAAGGCCCAGTGCAAAATTGAATATGAGGCCCTAAAATATAAAACACTATATTAATATTTCCACATTTTTAAAATAATAGTTTCCTTAGGTTTTTGTGGGTTTTAAGAAGAAAATAGCATGTATAGTATAGAGGTGTAAGGTAAATGAAAAAGTTGAAAAGATAATATATTAAGAAAAGTAAAGTAATGACAAAGTATGTAAAAGAAAGTAGTTACAAGTTCGTTCCAAACTGTATGAGGGCTTTGCGCTAATTACTGTAACTAGGCCTTGTGAAATAAAGAAATTACACAATCGTAATTAACATTGTATTTTAATTACAAATAAATATTACTATTTAATGTTTGTATTTATAAATAATACTCAGATAGGAATATTAATCAAATAAATAAAACTGTATTATATTATATAGACTAGATTTAAAATTTTGGGCCTTCTGAATTCAAGAGGCCTTGTGCGGTAGCACTTCTTGTACGCCTTCATCTACGGCCCTGCCACACAACAATTCCTGTTTATAGCGCACACAAATCAAACTTCCCTTTTTCCCTATCACAAAATAAGGATTTTGTTTTCCCCGTTTCAAAAATGGAATATATCTAAAACAAATTTCCATTTTTTCTATTACAAAAGTCTAAATATTGCGTTAAGTACTTTATGGTCTGATGGCATTACTGTGGCATTCCCAAGAAGGAGGTCACAGGTTCGAATTCCATCCCAATTCAAGGATGTTGGCATTAACATTGAGCACATACTATATATAGGTTAGAAAGAATTGTCCAAAAGAATTTTCCTACAATGTTTATTATTTTGGTTGCGTACATTTCATACAATTTGCATTCTATTCTTTACTAGTCAATGTGTCAGTTTCACACTTTGACACGAAAAAGAATTTGTAAAATTTGAGCCCGTTTGATAAGACTAAAATTGACTGAATTGGCTGATTCTGCTAATTTATGAAAAAAAAAATTAAAATATTTTTTATTAATAAATTAAATAAAAAATTATATGAAAAAATAGCTCAAATGACCATCTACAGTAACTTCAGCCAATACAGCCAGAAAAGTAACCCCAACCTTACTTTTTTGCTTAAATTATTACAAAATTCAGCGCGCGAAATCAAAAGTTACGTGTTTGGTGGAAAAGCTGGCCGATAAGCTAAGCCTGATAAGCCGAAAAAGGGAGTCACCAAACGGGCTCTTTGTATTAATTTGGTTAAATAAAATCAATAATGATGAGTATGCTATGAGCATCTATGTAACACCGAAACAGGAACGCGGAAACGCGAGAACGTGTACGTGGATATACGGCAAAACAAATTAATTAAAGTAGGATATGGCTATGTTTAAAGAACCGAACAGGGACGACCGGGAGGGTCGACCCGGAACCCGGCCACCCGGCTCCAAGTCCGCTCCGGCTAAGCTTCAGCCCGCTAATTGGATAAAAACCGGAGAAACCCAGCTACCCGGGTACAACCCGGGCAAACCCGGAACCACCGAAACCCGGCCAACCCCGTTAATTGGCAAAAATCCGGACTATAGAACTGGCGCACGCAGGAATCAAACCTGAGTTGGCTGGAATGATGTTTGTCTTTCCATCCACTCCACAACCTTCACATGTTGGTCTAAGTGTATCTTTTCAGCAATATCTTACGTAACATTTGAGCTCTATTTATTATCCATCAACTAATTAGTTAACTAAACAATTAATAATAACAAAATAATGCACACACTCGCTGATATTATACTTCCCATTCATGTATATATATAATATTTCAATTATATGTCAAAATATATTTATATTGTATCTTTAAGATTTTGTAATTGATTTCAATCCCAACCCCCTCCCCTCCCAGCGAACCTATCCCCCTCCCAACCCACCCAATCATCCCATTCGGAAAAACTAAAAAAACTAAAAAATTAAAAAAAAACCATAAAAGCTAAAAAATGTAGGCCTCTAATGTCGCCTCAACAACCTCCCAACGCTACCAGCTCGGACCACCAAAAACAATGCTAACATGTGTCAGTAATGCGATCTGGATGGCTATTTTAGGGGAGAAACTTGGCATTTTCAAAGAGTAAAAATGTTATCTTAATGGCATTTTAAAGAAAAATGACAGTTTTTATGCAAAATGCCATTTTTTCACCGATCGGGGGTGGCAGAGGCTGCAGGAAAGGCCTGCATAAATTTTTTATGTGTTTTATCTATTTTTGTTACTTTTAAAGTTTTATTTTTTATAAATATTAAAAAAACAATATTTTTATTAGTATATAATGTTTTAAAACTATTTTTGAATTTTTCAATATTTTTTATGATTTTATTATAAATTAAATTATTTTTTATATTATTTTTATGTTTTTATTACAAATTAAAATATGATTTTCCTATTGAGTTATGGTAATGATAAAATAGAAAGATAGAGTATACTTTAGTCTTATTTTGACCTTTTTAGAAGCTAAACAACATGGTCTTATTTGTACATTTAGAGA